GGAGCAAGCGTTTCGCTCGAGACATCCTCAACACACGAAAAAGTGGCCCGCAACCTGTGATTTATCGATCGGGATTTCAAAAACAAGCGTTTCGCTCGAGACATCCTCAAATTTTAATTCGCCGGCCTCCTTCGACCTCGTTATTTATCAGGGAAAAAATTCGCCGGCCTCCCTCAAGTTTGCACCGGGGGACAGGTTTACCTACTAAAAGAGAACCCTGGGCCCGGCCCTTTCCGGGAAAAAAACAAAAAAACAAAAAACGTTGTTTTTATTTCTGTGGGGGGGCGGCCGAGGAGAAAAAAACCATGATGGACCCACGAACCCGGAAAAGGATATAGACATGTGGAGCATGGGCACGTTTTCACGATACCCAACGGGGCAACACCTCACGAAACATCCCACGAGACACCTCACGAAACATCCCACGAGACACCTCACGAAACATTCCGCGAGACACCTCACGAAACATTCCAGGAGACACCCCGCGAAACATTCCACGAGACACCCCACGAAACATTCCACGACGAAGGCAACCACTCAACCAAGGCGGTGTGGTCGTGCTGGGGATTGGTCGTGCTGGGGTGTGGTCGTGCTGGGGGGTGGTCGTGCTGGGGTGTGGTCGTGCTGGGGGGGTGGTCGTGCTGGGGGGTGGTTGTGCTGGGGCGTGGTCGTGCTGGGGCGTGGTCGTGCTGGGGCGTGGTCGTGCTGGGGCGTGGTCGTGCTGGGGCGTGTTCGTGCTGGGGTGTGGTCGTGCTGTGGTAAGGTCGTGCTGGGGTGCGGTCGTGCTGGGGTGTGGTCTTGCTGGGGTGGGGTCGTGCTGGGGTGTGATCGTGCTGGGGTGGGGTCGTGCTGGGGTGTGGTCGTGCTGGGGTGTGGTCGTGCTAGGGTGGGGTCGTGCTGGGGTGGGGTCGTGCTGGGGAGTGGTCGTGCTGGGGGGTGGTCGTGCTGGGGTGTGGTCATGCTGGGGCGTGGTCGTGCTGGGGTGGGGTCGTGCTGGGGTGGGGTCGTGCTGGGGTGGGTTCGTGCTGGGGTGCTCCGCACCCTGTGATTTATCGATCGGGTCGTGCTGGGGTGTGGTCGAGCTGGGGTGTGGTCGTGCTGGGGTGTGGTCGTGCTGGGGTGTGGTCGTGCTGGGGTGTGGTCGTGCTGGAGGTCGTGCTGGGGTGTGGTCGTGCTGGGGGTGGTCGTTGCTGGGGGGTGGTCGTGCTGGGGGGGTGGTCGTGCTGGGGGGTGGTCGAGCCTGGGGGGTGGTCGTGCTGGGCGGTCGTGCAGGGGCGTGGACGTGCTGGGGTGTGGTCGATGCTGGGTGAGTCGTGCTGGGTGTGGTCGAGCTGGGGTGTGGTCTTGCTGGGCGTAGGGTCGTGGCTTGGTCGGTGTCGTGCTGGGGTGTGTCGTGGCTGGGTATGGTCTGCTGGGGTGGGGTCGTGCTGGGGTGGGGTCGTGCTGGGTCTGGTCGTGCTGGTGTGGTCGTGTGCTGGGGTTATGGGTCGTGCTAAGGGTGGGGTCTTGCATTTCGCTCGAGACATCCTCCAAAATTCCAGGAAATCGTATACAAAAACAAAGGAATTACAGTCGAGACATCATCGAAATTCCTTCGCGCGGGCGCTTTTCCGCGTCGCGGTCGGCTCTGCAAAACAAGCGTTTCGCTCGAGACATCCTCGGCAAACTCTGCGGAGCAAGCGTTTCGCTCGAGACATCCTCAACACACGAAAAAGTGGCCCGCACCCTGTGATTTATCGATCGGGATTTCAAAAACAAGCGTTTCGCTCGAGACATCCTCAAATTTTAATTCGCCGTCCTCCTTCGACCTCGTTATTTATCAGGGAAAAAATTCGCCGGCCTCCCTCAAGTTGGCACCGGGGGACAGGTTTACCTACTAAAAGAGAACCCTGGGCCCAGGCCCTTTCCGGGAAAAAAAAAGGAATGCGACGTGGGGGGGGGCGCCAGGAGAAAAAAAAAAAAAAGGAATGCGACGTGACCACATCTGCCCTCCCCCTAGAAGGATTCCTATTGGACGCCCCCATAAGAAGGATTCACAGTAAAATCCTCGACAGAAGGGTTCCTATCGAAACCCTCCACTGAATGATTCCTACCGAAATCCTCCACATGTGGATTCCTACTGAAACCCTCCACTGAGTGATTCCTACTGAAATCCTCGAATGGCAATGGCAATGGCAATGACAATGGTAATGGTAATGGTAATGGTAATGGTACTGGTAATGGTACTGGTAATGGTTACGGTAATGATAGTGGTAACGGGGTAGCGAGGCAATGACAATGGCAATGGCAACGGTAATGGTAATGTTAATGGCAATGGCAATGGCAATGGGAATGGCAATGACAATGGCAATGGCAATGGCAATGGTAATGGTAATGGCCATGGCAATGGTAATGGTAAGGGTAGGGGTAAAGGTAGAGTCAAAGGTAATGGTAATGGTAATGGTAATGGTAATGGTACTGGCAATGGCAGTGGTAATGGGAATGGGAATGGAAGTGGGAATGGGAACGGGAATGGAAATGATAGTGGTAGTGGTAATGGTAATGGCACTGGTAATGGTAATGGTTATGGAAATTGTAATAGTATTGGGAATGGGAATGAGAATGGGAATCCGAATGGTAATGGCAGCGGTAGTATCATGGTAATGGGAATGGGAGTGGAAATGGTACTGGCAATGGTAATGGTAGTGACGAATGGCAATAGCAATGGTGATGGTAATGGTAATGACAAGGGTAATGGTAATGGTACTGGTAATGGTACTGGTAATGGTAACGGTAATGGTAATGGTAAGGGGGTAGCGATTGGCAATGGCAATGACAATGGCAAAGGTAATGGTAATGACAATGGCAATGAGATTGGCAATGGCAATGACAATGATAATGGCCATGGCAATGGCAACGGCAATGGTAAGTGTGATGATAACGGCAATGGGAACGGGAATGGGAATGTGAATGGGAATAGGAACGGGAACGGGAATGGAAATGGTAGTGGTAGTGGTAACGGAAATGGGAATGATAAGGGTAAGGGTAAAGGTAAAGGTAGAGATAAAGGTAATGGTAATGGAAATGATAGTGATAATGGTAATGGTAATGTTAATGGTAATGGTCATGAGAATGGGAATGGCAATGGAAATGGTACTGGCAATGGTAATGGTAGTGGCTAATGACAATGGCAATGGCAATGCGAATGGTAATGGTAGTGACAGAGGTAATGGTAATGGTACTGGTAATGGTAACGGTAATGATAATGGTAACTGGGTGGCGACTGGCAATGGCAATGACAATGACAACGGCAACGGTAATGGCAATGGCAATGGCAATGGCAATGGGAATGGCAATGGCAATGGTAATGGCCATGGCAATGGCAATGGCAATGGTAATGGCAATGGTAATGTGAATGGGAATGGGAACGGGAATGGGAATGTGAATGGGAATGGGAACGGGCATGGAAATGGCAGTGGTAGTGGTAACGGAAATGGGAAATGGGAATGGTAAGGGTAAATGTAAAGGTAGAGGTAATGGTAATGGTAATGGCAATGGCAGTTGTAATGGTAATGGTAATGGTAATGGTATTGGGAATGGGAATCGGAATGGTAATGGTACTGGCAACGGTAATGGTAGTGGCGAAGGGCAATGGCAATGACAATGGTAATGGTAATGGTAGTGGCGAATGGCAATTGTAATGGTAGTGGCGAATGGCAATGGCAATGGTAATGGTAATGGCAATGACAGTGGTAATGATAATGGTACTGGGAATGGTAATGGTGACGATAACGGTAATGGTAATGGTTATGGCAATGGTAACGGGGTAGCGAGTGGCAATGGTAATGGGAATGGCAACGGCAACGACAATGGCAATAGCAATGGCCATGGCAATGGTAATGGTCATGGTCATGGTCATGGTCATGGTCATGGTCATGGTCATGGTCATGGTCATGGTCATGGTAATGGTAATGGTAATGGTAATGGTAATGGTAATGGTAATGGTAATGGTAATGGTAATGGTAATGGTAATGGTACTAGGTGGGTGTGTGGTATCGAAGTGGTATTTGGAAAGGGAACGGGAATGAAAAAGTAGTGGTAACAAAACATAAAAGAAAAAAAAAAAGAGAAGAAAAACTAAAAGAAAAAAAAACAATGAAGGTAATATTTAAAAAAAAAGTAAACTGTAAAAAAAACCAAGGACCACTCTCTCCACCCTACAGTGGAAATCGAATGGCCAAGGTATGGAAAATGATACAGGTAACGGTCAAATGGTAAGGGCAGAAGATGAAGGGAAAGGTCAATGAAAAGGTTGCTGGCATGTCTGGAACATGGAAAGGGAAAAGGCAACAATGATGAGTAATATGCTAATGATGACTGGCAATGGTAATGGTGGTGGCGAATGGTAATGGTAATGGTAATGGTAATGGTAATGGTAATGGTAACGGTAATGGTAACGGGGTGGCGACTGGCAATGGCAATACCATGGCAATGGCAACGGCACTGGCAATGGCAATGGCAATGATAATGGCAATTGGAATCGCAATGGTAATGGCACTGGCAATTGTAATGGCAATGGTAATGGTAATGGTAATGGTACAGGTAAAGATAAAGGTAAAGGTAATGGTAATGGTAACGGTAATGTGAATGGGAATGGGAATTGGGATGGGAATGGTAATGGTAATGGTATTGGGAATGGGAATGGAATGGGAATGGGAGTGGGAGAGATTGAGAGAGAGAGAGAGAGAAAACGAGAAAGGAAACATCAGCATAATGATGAGGAACAAAGTGAAATATCGTAAACTTTCGTCTGAAACCCACAGCGACTCCACAATCCCCCGGCCTCGAGTCCTCCTCCCCCTCCCCCCCTTCCCCCTCTACATCGTTCACCTCCTCCTTCTCCCTCTCCTCCTTCTCCTTCTCATCTTCCTCTTCTTCCTCCCCCGTTCCGCCCAGCTTCGCGCGGCCACTCTGAGGAGGGGGCGGGAAGGTCTGGGGCCGATGGGGGGACGCAGAGCGCTGTCCTTGTCGGCCTTCTGCAGCTCCTCAATCATCTTCTGCTGCCTCGGGTCCAGCCCTCCATTTCCCTCCTCCTCCTCCTCCTCCTCCTCACCCTTTTCCTCCCCCTCTTCTTCCTCCTTCTCCTCCTCCTCCTCCTCCTTCTCCTCCTCCTCCTCCCCCTCCTCCTCCTCCTCCCCCACTCCCCCCTTATTCCTTCTCCCTCGCCCTCCTTCTCCTACATCCTTCCCTGTCGCACCCCCAGACGTGTCAGTAGGGCGGGCCGGGCGTTTCGCCTGAGACGTCCTCCCCATTTATGGACCTAATGCTTGAAATTTGCAACAACTTCAAGGGGTGGAAGGCGGGCCGTATTCAAAATGTGTCTCTCGCTTTAGCGCCGTGCGCATTTGTCAACCATTCGCAACAGCTTCACGGATGTAGGGCGGTTCCTTTTGCACACGTGGCTCTTGATTTAGCGCCGCGCACATCCGTCTTAAAGTTTGCAACAGCTGCAAACATGGAGGGCGGCTCTTTTTCGAAATGGGGCTGTCGCCTCAGCGCCGCGCACACTCGTCTTGAAACCTTGCAGCAACTTCATGGATCCGCACGGCGAAAGTTCTACGAGTGGAGATCTGGCACGATGTAATGGTTGTCAGGACGCAGCAGTCACGTTGATTCGCTGCGTTGAACTCTGCGGAACCGTGTGCTGGCAAGATTTGGGATTACCAGACGCGCTAGTCACGTCGACTCGCGGCACCGAAGTCCCAGGAATGATGTCTTGGCGCGATTGAAGACTCTCAGACGGTTGTCTTCTGAAGGGTCACTTCCCGCATTGAACATCAGATCTTGTAGGGACCGGAAAAGATGTAACCTCGAGGGAAGATTGATTGCAACATTGTTGATGCGTCTCGGGTTTACGCTGTTCCTCCTCCTCCTCTTCCTCCTCCTCCTCCTCCTCCTCCTCCTCCTCCTCCCCCTCCTCCTCCTCCTCCTCATATTCCCATTCCTTCCCTTCCTCCCCCATCTTCCTCCTCCTCTTCCACTTTGTCTGCCTCTCTCTTCTTGTTCCTCCTCAGTATTCCCGTTGCTCTCCACGTCCTCCTCTTCTCGCCACTGCCCCTGCCCCTCCTCATCATCATGATCATCCTCCCCCCACATCCCCTCCCCCTGCCCATGATGATAAAAACCTCGCCCCCATCTCGTCTTCCTCATCCTCCTCTGCTGCTGCCGCCTCACGTCCAGCTCACTGTTCTGGGTCGCCATCTTCTGGAGCTCCTGCACGCAGCGTCCCTGCTCAGCCTGGACCTGGCGCAGAGTGAAGGCGCGGGACCCGTCTCACCACTGCGCACCCTGCCTTCCTCTTCTCCTCCTCTTCCTCCTCCCCTCTCCCCCCTACACCCTGCGAAATGCTTAAGAAATCATGGGTTAAGAAATTCATAGTCTCAGAACGTGAATAAAACCCAACATTTCTATTATAATCTTAAGATTTACATTGAAATACTAAGAATAATCGAGACTCTGGCCGAAAAAACAAGTTTTCTTAAGCATCGCATAAGGTGTACTCCATCCGTGCTCCTTGCAAGCTCCTCCCTGTCGCACGCCCGGGCCCGGACGTGTCACGAGGGCGGGCCGGGCGTTTCGCCGGATACTTCCTCACCACCTACGACCCTGGATCGGGGAGACGTAAGACCCGGGTACGGGGGACTCGGAAATCCCCGACGAGGTCGTCAAAAAAATGACGAGGCCGAGCCTGCATTTTGACGAGGCCTCCCGCTGCAGACATCCCACGAAACTCCTCCTCGTCAAAATCCGAGTCGCGGTCGTCAAAAAACGATGGCGAACCCGAGTCCCGGCAAACCCGGGTCTTACGCTCCCCCGACTGGAACTTGAAACTTGCAACAATTTCACTAAAATAGAGGGAGGACAACTTGCATTACCCCGGCACAGCAACCTGACAGCGATGTGTATAAGCATATCTGGAAGCATTCCCCTTAATATTCAGGTGAGAATCCAGTTGTAGAATTCTGCTGTTCTCGCAGTCGCAGTCGCATTCGCAATGACAGTCGCAGTGGCAACGGCCTTAGGATCCAATGGAATCCTAAGGATTCCTAGGGATTCCTAAGGCATCCTTAGGAATCCTTAGCCTCAGCCTCATCAGCCTCAGCCTCAGCCTCAGCCTGTCTCAGCCTCAGTCTCAGCCTGCCTCGGCCTCAGCCTGCCTCAGCATCGGCCTCAGCCTCAGCCTCAGCCTGCCTCGGCTTGCCTCGGCCTCAGCCTCAGCCTGCCTCGGCCTCAGCCTCAGCCTCAGCCTGCCTCAGCCTCAGCCTCAGCCTCAGCCTCAGCCTCAGCCTGCCTCAGCCACAGTCTCAGCCTGCCTCGGCCTCAGCCTGCCTCAGCCTCAGCCTGCCTCAGCCTCAGCCTCAGCCTGTCTTCAGCCTCAGCCTGCCTCAGCATCAGCCTCAGCCTCAGCCTCAGCCTGCCGCAGCCTCAGCCTGCATCAGCCTCAGCCTCAGCCTGCCTCAGCCGCAGCTTGCCTCAGCCTCAGCCTCAGCCACTGCCTCAGCCTCAGCCTGCCTCAGCTTCAGCCTCAGCCTCAGCCTCAGCCTCAGCGTCAGCCTCAGCCTCAGCCTGCCTCTCAGCATCAGCCTGCATCAGCCTCAGCCTCAGCCTCAGCCTGCCTCAGCGACAGCCTCTCAGCCTCAGCCTCAGCCTCAGCCTGCGTCAGCCTCAGCCTCAGCCACTGCCTCAGCCTCAGCCTGCCTCGGCTTGCCTCAGCCTCAGCCTCAGCCTGCCTCGGCCTCAGCCTCAGCCTCAGCCTGCCTCAGCCTCAGCCTCAGCCTCAGCCTCAGCCTGCCTCTCAGCATCAGCCTGCATCAGCCTCAGCCTCAGCCTCAGCCTGCCTCAGCCTCAGTCTCAGCCTGCCTCAGCCTCAGCCTGCCTCAGCCTCCTGAACCTGCCTCGGCCTCAGCCTCAGCCTGCCTCGGCATCTGCATCAGCCTCAGCCTCAGCCTGCCTCTGCTTGCCTCGTCCTCAGCCTCAGCCTGCCTCGGCCTCAGCCTCAGCCTCAGCCTGCCTCAACCTCAGCCTCAGCCTGCCTCAGCCTCAGCCTCAGCCTCAGCCTCAGCCTCAGCCTCAGCCTGCCTCAGCCGCAGCCTGCCTCAGCCTCAGCCACAGCCTCAGCTTCAGCCTCAGCCTGCTTCAGCTTCAGCCTCAGCCTCAGCCTGCCTCGGCTTGCCTTAGGCCTTAGGATCCAGCCAGCCGGCCTTAGGATCCAGCCAGCCTGCCTCAGCCTGCCTCAGCCAGCCGGCCTTGGGATCCAATGGAATCCTAAGGATTCCTAGGGATTCCTAAGGCATCCTTAGGAATCCTTAGCCTCAGCCTCATCAGCCTCAGCCTCAGCCTCAGCCTGTCTCAGCCTCAGTCTCAGCCTGCCTCGGCTTGCCTCAGCCTCAGCCTCAACCTGCCTCGGCCTCAGCCTCAGCCTCAGCCTGCCTCAGCCTCAGCGTCAGCCTCTCAGCCTCAGCCTGCATCAGCCTCAGCCTGCCTCAGCCTGCCTCAGCCTCAGCCTCAGATCGGCTTCAGCCTCAGCCTGCCTCAGCCTCAGCTTGCCTCAGCCTCAGCTTCAGCCTCAGCCTCAGCCTGCCTCAACTTCAGCCTCAGCCTGCCTCGGCTTGCCTCCTCGGCCTCAGCCTCAGCCTCAGCCTGCCTCAGCCTCAGCGTCAACCTCTCAGCCTCAGCCTGCATCAGCCTCAGCCTCAGCCTCAGCCTGCCTCATCCTCAGCCTCAGCCTGTCTCAGCCTCAGCCTGCCCAGCATCAGCCTCAGCCTCAGCCTCAGCCTGCCTCAGCCTGCCTCGGCCTCAGCCGCAGCCTCAGCCTGCCTCAGCATCAGCCTCAGCCTGCCTCAGCCTCAGCGTGCATCAGCCTCAGCCTCAGCCTGCCTCAGCCGCAGCTTGCCTCAGCCTCAGCCACAGCCTCAGCCTCAGCCTCAGCCTCAGCCTCAGCCTCAGCCAGCCTCGGCTTGCCTCAGCCTCAGCAGCCTGCCTCGGCCTCAGCCTCAGCCTGCCTCAGCCTCAGCCTCAGCCTGCCTGCCTCAGCCTCAGCCTCAGCCTCAGCCTGCCTTCAGCCTCAGCCTCAGCCTCAGCCTGCCTCAGCCTCAGCCTGCATCAGCCTCAGCCTCATCCTCAGCCTGCCTCAGCATCAGCCTCAGCCTCAGCCTCAGCCTCAGCCTGCCTCACTCAACTGCCTCGGCCTCAGCCTGCGTCAGCCTCAGCCTCAGCCTGCCTCAGCCTCAGCCTGCCTCAGCCTCAGCCTCAGCCTGCCTCGGCTTGCTCAGCCTCAGCCTCAGCCTCAGCCTCGGCCAGCCTCAGCATCAGCCTGCCTCAGCCTCAGCCTCAGCCTCAGCGTCAGCCTCTCAGCCTCAGCCTCAGCCTGCCTCAGCCTCAGTCTCAGCCTGCCTCAGCCTCAGCCTGCCTCAGCCTTAACTTCAGACTGCCTCGGCCTCAGCCTGCGTCAGCCTCAGCCTCAGCCTGCCTCAGCCTCAGCCTGCCTCAGCTTGCCTCAGCCTGAGCCTCAGCCTGCCTCGGCCTCAGCCTCAGCATCAGCCTGCCTCAGCCTCAGCGTCAGCCTCTCAGCCTCAGCCTGCCTCAGCCTCAGCCTGCCTCAGCCTCAGCCTCAGCCTGCCTCGGCGTGCCTCAGCCTCAGCCTCAGCCTGCCTCGGCCTCAGCTTGCCTCGGCCTCAGCCTGCGTCAGCTCGGGCATTCAAAGTATGGCACAGGACTGGTGTTCTGGGAGCATGAAGATCACGAAGTGGTCCACAGTTAGCTCCGGGCAGTCACAAGATGGTACACGAATGGTGTTCCGGGACCACGAAGAACACGAAGTGGCCTACAGTTGGCTGGACATTCAAGATGTGGCCTGGGAGTGGTGTTCTGGGAACACAAAGAACACGAAGTGGCCTACAGTTGGCTCCGGGCATTCAAAATGTGGCCTGGGAATGGTGTTCTGAGAAGACGAAGAACGCGAAGTGGCCTACAGGTGGCTCCAGGCATTCAAAATGTGGCCTGGGAATGGTGTTCTCGGAAAACGAAGAACACGAAAGGCCTACAGTTGGCTCCGGGCATTCAAAATGTAGCCTGGGAGTAATGTTCTGGGAACACGAAGAACACGAAGTGGCCTACAGTTGGCTCTGGGCATTCAAAATGTGGCCTGGGAATGGTGTTTTGGGAATGGATTCCTAAGGATTCCCAAGAATTCATAAGGATTCCTAAGGATTCCTGGGGCTGCCGGATCTGTCCGGATTTGTCTGGATCCCGCCCAGACCCCCCTGGGGCGGCTGCCGGATCTGTCCGGATCTGTCCGGATCCCGCCCAAACCCCCCTGGGGCGTCAAGATGTGCTCTCTTTTGGCCCCACTAGTCTTCGCTGTTAGGTAAAAATGTGGCCCTTGCCTTAGCACCGCGCACATTCTTCGTACAAGTTCGGGGCAGCTTCACGGATGGAGGGCGGCTCGTTTTAAAACAATGGCTCTCGCCTGAAGGCCGCGCATCTTTGTTTTAAACGTTTGCGACCTCTTCAAGGATTCGTATGGTTAAAATCCCAGGAATGGTGTTCTATTCGCTGTGTTGAGATCCAGAGAGTGATGCTCTGGCACTGTTTAGGGTTGTCAGGATGCAACAATCACGTTGATCCGCGGCGGTGAAAACCCAGGAATGGAGTTTTGGCGCGTTTGAGAGTTCCCAGACGGCTGTCTTCTGATGAGCCGCTTCCCGCATTGAACATCAAGTCTTGCAGGAGCTTGTAAAGAGGAAACCTCGATGAAAGGTTTATTGCAACATCGTTGATGCGTCCTGGGTTTACGCTGGCCCTCCTCCGCCTCCTCCTCCTCCTCGTCCTCCTCCTCCTCCTACTCATCCTTCCTTTTTGTTGTGCTCTCTCTCTCTCTCTTGTTCTCTCTCTCTCTCTCTCTCTGTTTGTCTTTGTTTTCTCTCTCTGTCTCTTCCCCACATCCAAAGTGGGGTTCTTGTATTCTCTGGACACCCCGCGCAGGAAGTCTCACCCCTCACCCCTCCCTCTCCTCCTCATCACCCAGCACCTCCTCACTCACACTCTCACTCCCTCATCATCCCACTCCTCCTTCCCCTCCTCCTCCTCATCATCATCACCATCGTCATATTCATAATCATCATTCATCCACTCCCTCACTAATTCACTCACTCACTTACTCACTCACACACCCACATTTGAGGAAGTATCAGGCGGGAGCCTCGTCTGTGAGTGACTTGAGAGGAAGTCTCAGGCGGGAGCCC